GGGGCTAAGGTCCCACTCACTTGGCCTCTCTACGAAATACCAGGTGGTCACAAGGACGGCCGTCTGGAACTTGTCCGCGTCAATCCGTCCGAGGTTCCATTTCTTGGGGAGAGGAATGTTCCCCTCCCCTGGGCGGTGGTCCAGCATCCGCTGTTGAGGGATAGAGAGATGGAGAGACCACGTTATATCTATGATCAGACAACGTCTCATTCTCCGCCTCCACCACCTACTCCCCGAATATTCGGGCGGCCGAGGGATAACCCCATGTCAAGTCTATGACCGATTCCCCTCTCAGCCGAACGCAGGTGCTGGTCGACCCCCTGTTCATCAACAGAAGGCCGAGTCCCGCCGCCCAGTCGACCACGGCCCTGCCCTGAGAGTCCCCTTGCCGGGGATCGCAACTCCACCCTGTTGAGTGGATGTTGAAATCCCTGGCAACTATGACGGGTCGGGGATGACACTGTCGTCCTCCGATCCGTATGAAATCCCCGACTCTGTCGAGAACTCTCTCTATTCGGGCAGGGTCTCCGAGGCCGATCTTGTTCCTACGGTGGTGTAGATAAACTTCCACTACAGTGACGGGCCTCCAGTCGACAGCCACATACGAGGTTCCCCTTTTCTTGATTTTATAGGAGGGGGACCCCGTCGCGGGACAGGCCACTACGGCCACCAAGCCGTCGCGGCTGTCCGACCAGTTTGGATTACCGGCCGACTTCCACGACGGCTTGGTGGCCACTCCCAGTTCTACACTTATACTAATAATCTATGTACATAAGTTACTCAACGGAAATCGCGAGAAGGTGGTCTTTTCCGTCCGAAGGGAATGTAAAACGTTAGTTTCTTTTTGTTCGGAACCTGACTGAATATAGAATAGCTCCGGAGAGCTGGCTGGTGATTTTCGAATCGCAGAGCGATGTCCGCCTGCGACTATGTCGCTCGAGTAACTCGACGACCAACCGATTGTCCTGGTTGACATCTGAGGGATGTCGTAAAGCTGCCACAGGCCTTGCAGAAACGCGCAACACCGCGCGCCGACCTCACCGTGCCCAGGGACGACGGCGAAAGCAAAAGAGAGGAAGGACACGTACATGCCGACGCAAAGAGGCACGCGATGTAAAAACGCAACGGACGCAATAGAAGTCAGTACAAACGCAAATAGAATAACGCAGAAGAACGACGCAGAAGAAACGCAGTAGAAACGTAGCTATTTACAAGGCGAAGACGTTCGCTAGCGCAAAGTCCCGGAGGACACACACGTCAGTGACGTCAACGGTGAGCGGCACCCGGAGCACGTCCAAGTATGTGTAAACGAAACGACCTCCGTCGTTTCGGAAGGCCTGCCTTTCGGGATGTAACGGCCTACCAGCCACGGTCCCGAGGGCGCGTGCGAAAGAGCGCTGAACTCTAGCAAGCAGGGCGACCAAGCCGCTCCCGCGAGAAAGCCAATTTCCCTACGGACACTTGGAAGAATGCGCTCAAAGCGTCAGAGGAGACGACCACGTTCGCTGCTAGTATAGCCAAGGTCCCCTACGGACACTTGGAAGAATGAGGAGCTCGCAGCTCTTAGGAGGCAGCTTCGCCGCTTCTAAATCATGGCAACGCCGTGAGCACGAAATCCTAAGACGAGATTCGAACCATTAGCATCAACCCAGCAGGGTGTATCGGCGCCGCCTTCAACTCAGCAGAGTGTATAGAGCGCTGGTTCGAATCCGAGAAGTAAGAACAGACCGCCCTAGGAAAGCCTAAAAAGCGCGTCGGTAACCAGCAGTACGACAGTTCGCACTAAGAAGCAGCATAGATTGTCACTGAGAACGGCTAAGCAAATGATATGGTAAAAGGCAAGGGGCGAAGCAAGGCACGGCGCGCCCGGTTATATAGCCGGACGGCCGAATCTTGCCTGCGGGCAGTGGAATCGTGGGTCGTGCCGCATAGCGGCCACGGTCGGAGCTACCAGTCAAGCGCGGGGCGTCGACGGGAGTCCCGCACGCTCGTTCGCGAGAAACCGGCGTTCCTCGCCGCTTGCGAGGATGTCCCGGGAGCTAGGCCGTCCGCCCCGCAGCGCCGATCCGCTAGCCGACTTTCCGCACGGCAGCTCGTGCCGCACGGAACACTTTTAATATTGCATTAATTGTTATATGCATATAATCTTCTTATATTAGGTGCGCAACTAAGTTCCCGCTGTTTTTCAAGAGATGACTCCAGTAGTAAGTGCTGGTCGATTGTGACATAACCAAAACGTCATGAACCAAGCTTAGACATATGATAAACAAACCGCTTTGACACATTAGTGATTTTGTTTTTGCGTCATATACTTTTGGTTGTGTGAAAATGTCTGATTTTGTGCCAAATAATCGTCATTTGCGGGAAGTGTTGCTTTTCTTCTTTCATTCGAAGAAAACGGCGGCTGAAGCGCATCGAGAACTCCAAAAAGTTTACGGAGATGCTGCTCTAAGTGAAACAACGTGCCGTGATTGGTTCCGTCGCTTCAAAGACGGTGATTTCGATGTTGACGACCGTTCGCTTGAAGGAAGGCCAAAAACCTTCGAAGACGCTGAATTGGAGGGATTGCTCGATGAGGATCCGTGCCAAACGCAAAAAGAGCTTGCTTCAGCATTAGGAGTTACCCGCCAAGCCATTTCCAAGCGATTGCGTTAGGAATGATTCAAAAACAAGGAACTTGGGTTCCTTATGATTTGAAGCCAAGAGACGTTGAGCGTCGTTTTTTCGCCTGTGAACAACTGCTCCAGCGGCAAAAAAGGAAGGGTTTTCTTCATTGCATCGTTACGGGTGATGAAAAATGGATTCATTACAGCAACCCAAAGAGAACAAAATCATGGGGACTGCCCGGTCATGCTTCTACGTCGTCGGCTCGGCCGAATATTCACGCTGCGAAGGTTTTGCTGTGTATTTGGTGGGACCAGGGCGATGTATTTATTTAGCGACCGAACAAACCACACTGAACGAGAACCAAAGGATCAGACTGCCGACATGATGGCGAACGCACATAATATCGAACCAAGATCGATTAGCGACACGCCAAAACAATACGAGCAGAGCACGAAAAAGTGATTCTACAGCATGAAAACGCTCGGCTTCACGTTGCCAAACCCGTTAAAATCTACTTAGAAACGCTCAAATGGGAAGTCCTACCCCACCCACCATATTCCCCAGATATTGCGCCGTCCGAATATTACTTGTTCCGTTCGATGGCACATGGTCTGGCTAATCAGCAGTTCCGCTCATATGAAGATATCTCAAAATGGCTTGATTCGTGGATAGCCTCAAAAGACGAACACTTCTACCGTGACGGTATTCGAGCTCTGCCAGAAAGATGGGAAAAAGTTGTCGCTAGCGATGGGCAATATTTTGAATGATTCATTTGTAACCATTTTTTCACAATAAAGTTGCGTTTTCATAAAAAAAACAGCGAGAACTTAGTTGCGCATCTAATAATATAACATGTAGAAATAAAACGTTATAATATAAAAAATATGTTGCAATATAAGAAGGAATACAATATAAAAAAAATGTTTTGCATTTCCGAAAGTTGGGATGAAGAATAGGAAAGAATAGAGAAAAGATAAGAAAACAAAATAGATAGAAATATAGAAAAGAGGATAGAAAAAGAGTAAAAGGAATTACAAAAATAGAACATAGATAGAAGCGATAGACAAAAAATCCCAGACAACACGGACATTGAAGTGTTACGTCCTGCGGACTCCGGGCAATTAATTAAAAAAATTTTTTTCTTTTTCTTTTTCTCCTTTCGAATTTCTATTCTCCTAATATAACAATGGACATAGGAAACAGACACATCTGACGAATAGCCGTCGCGCCAAATGATAGACGATTCAGGAAAATTTCATAACAGAAAACAGTGCCCTGTAGGAAAAATCTACGTCTTCGTTCAGAGTTTATATCTGGGTAGTGTTCGCCAAGTATGTCCGTCGGCCTAGCTATAAAATTTGAAGCTCTGCGCTAACAGATTTCCAGTAAAACAAAGCAACTCGAAATACTTCTGTCCTAAAACTTTGAAACCTACATCTCCTTAATCTAAAACCATATGCAGCCTAACAACAAAGCTTAGTCGTAAAATCTGATCTCAGCCTTTGATTTTCGGCATGACTTTTCCAGCTGGCCACTTATATACATCTCTTTGCCCCACAAGAATCCACCACCATCATACTTGTCGTGCCTAATCCAGTCGGCCAATCATAACCTATCCATCCAAAACTATCAGACATCCACGCTCCACTCCTTAACCATTCTATATTCACATCTTCAAGAGCTAACCGTCTCCTCCCACGAAATCTTTTAACCTCACCCTTAATTTCTAATGGCTAAGACATTTCCCACTAACAAGGAGATGACGCAACCTATTTCATCGATTTCAACACGAGTCATAGCACACTCGATAGCTATGATGCCGTGTATAAACACCCTAACATAATATGCGTGAATGCGTCTTTGTTTACGAGTAATTTGCAGTTAAAGTTTGGCTCGCGGAGCTGTGCCCCACATAGGGCGCAAATTACGATACTCTTTCACGAAGCCGGCGTGGCTGAGCAGACAAAGGCTCCCGCGCCGCGAACACTTTTGCGCCGATCCCGGCGTTCGAATCCCGCCGACGACTGGTTCGTTTTTTTTTCGTATGTAAAGACATGTAATAAGTATTTTTATATTGTTCTTATGTATAATTCCTTATTTTGTTTCTACGCTATTAATCAAGGCTAATTAGGAGAGTCAGGTCTTTTAAATATGAACACAACTTTTTTATTAATTACAATAAAATGTTTTTATCGCGTAAATCTATTTCGCATAAATATTTCGTATGGTATGGGAAATAAATGGCCAGACAGTGATTATTTTGTGTGAGAGAAACCCGAGAGCCGTTAGAACCGTTACAAGTGGAAAGGAACCCTCTTCCCTTTCCCCTTCCCGTAGAGGGATTCTCATGTTTTGACGTGCTCGCTTCATTCTCTGGGCAGTCTTTGTAACGTGAACAGTGAAAAACTCGTGTTAAAAATGGAAACCACGTTTGTAGATAAAGCAACGATCAGCTATGTGCAAAATCTAGCAAAATGTGATATTACGAAAGAAGAGTTGACGGACGCAATAGAATATCTTCGAGGTAAATATATTGAATGTGTGAGCAATGGAAAGATATATTTGTACGTATTGTTATTGGCCTTGTATACAATATCAATTATATTGAATTCATATTTGCAGATGTCCTGATACAATTTCCGTCCAGTCTTGTTGACAGTCGCGAGGTATTTTACAACGTCAATCAAATATGTTTTCCACCAACTATACATAGTCAAAAGTGTATTTGTGCAAAAAATTATGCGTTCATTACGTGCAGTTGGTGCAAAAAACTATTATGTTTTACATACTTTTATACGGCATTCCATCCGCAGAGTTGCGACAGCATGACCACATTTTATAATACGTAACTTTCATTTGTGTGCCTTATATTTGTCTTATGTGTGTGTGTCTATGTATTTTGATACGGACAAAAACATTTTATTGTAATTAATAAAAAAGTTGTGTTCATATTTGAAAGACTTGACTCTCCTAATTAGCCTTGACAGCGTAGAAACAAAAAAAGGAATTATACATAAGAACAATATAAAAATATTTATTACATGTCTTTACATACGAAAAGAAAAACGAACCAGTCGTCGGCGGGACTCGAACGCCGTCGTCAGCGCAAAAGTGTTCGCGGCGCGGGAGCCTTTGTCTGCTCAACCACGCCGCTTCGTGAAAGAGTCTCGTAACTTGCGCCCTATGTGGGACAGGGCTCCGCGAGCCAAACTTTAACTGTAAATTACTCGTAAACAAAGACGCATTCACGCATATTATGTTAGGGTGTTTATACACGGCATTATAGCTATCGAGTGTGCTATGACTCGTGTTGAAATCGATGAAATAAGTTGCGTCATCTCCTTGTAAGATCAACCAGGACCAGTACTAAAAATCTACTAATTAAATCTTTGACATTATTGGGCTCTCTTTAGGGCCTCACCCCTTCTCCAAGGGCCATCTCTCTACTCACTTTGGTAGGTCCTGCCTCCGATCATCAGTATAAAAACCGCGACATATGCCTCCGCGAGCATTCAGATTTAAATATCCACGTATTCAGATTCAAATATCCACGTATTCAGATTCAGACATTCAGATTCAGATATTCAGATTTTGAGCATTCAGATTTTGAGAAGTTGACATTAACATTCAGACTCTTTTTTTGACAAATATACATTTAGAGTTTTGAAATGCGGGCTTCCTATTTCCAACAAGTGAAATAAATAATTATTTGGTGCCCCAACTGGAGTACGGGCCTGGTGCAAAGTTGCACGTATTGGAACCCAGCATCCTTACGCAAATTCGCGCCAATTTTTCTTCCTCGTGTGAAGCACCCGAAACTAACAATAAGATTTATTTTCTTCATTCTCAACCTATTTTACCGCCATTTTATTAATTCTACCCTTTATTGAAATCCTATTGCAGTGGGTCATTATTATTATACCAATATCACCCTCCATCAAGTTCTTCATTCGTTCGAGTCGGTCTTCGACACAATAGATCCGGATACATTAGAAGCTAATGTTCAATATCTCCGATCTATTATTAATATTTCCCTAGAAATAGATTATCACCCAGATCCGACACTCCTACACTCTTTCCTATTCCTTCTGCGTTTACCCCTTGCTCCTTCCTCTTCTCGTACTCACGCGTCCTACTACCATTCTTTCTATCCCTTCAATATCTTATTCTCCTGTTTCTTTCTCTGAACTATCCACTCCCCTAAATTCACCAGACCGCTCTTGTTCCCCCTCACCTGACTAACTTTCCATTCGTATTCCTTCTCCTTTTTATTCTCTTCTTCTTCTACTTCTCACACACACACATACACATACAATCATTTGCGTAACTATAAATTGTCATATTCTAAACCGCGCCGTTATATCATTTTGTTGTTACACTTATTTTAATAAATCTGTTAATAGTCTATTTTCAATCAATTAATTTCAAAATTACCCCACCTTCCAACAGTTGACTCATGGTCCTATCCCCGGTAAAGGGATTCGCGTCCCTGATCGAAAAACGAATCGCTCGTTGTACGTCAGCGACCGAGTAAAGGGACTCGTCGGGTTCTTGACCCGTTTCCTGGCACGCGTGTACGAACGAGGTTCGCCTTTCCTGCGAACAGAAAAGTTGCGCTCCTCCTCCAGGATGTAATAGAAGACATTGAAAGGCGAGAAACCACCTGCGAAATTCTGCTTGCTAGGCAACAAAGAAAGGGATTTTTACATCGTATCATCACTGGGGATGAAAAATGGATTTATTTTGACAACCTCAAACGTCGGAAAACTATTTGTGATCCCGGCCAACCCTCAACATCGACGCCAAAACGGAATATTCACGGAATGAAGGCAATGCTCTGTATTTGGTGCGATCAGAAGGGTGTGCTGTTCCATGAGCTGTTGAAAAGTGGTCAAACAGTTACAGGTCTCTACAGAGAACAAATGATCCGTTTGAGCCGAGCATTGCACGAAAAACAACGAGAATATGAAACGGGACAGCATAAAGTGATTTTGCTTCATGACAACACCTCATGTTACAAAATCTGTCAAGAAAACGTTAGGAGCACTTCCGCTGGGAAGTGTTGCTCCAAACGGTTTATTCATCAGACTGTGCCCCTTCCGACTATCACTTGTTTCGGTCTATGGCACACGCACTTGCAGAGAAATGCTTCAATTCTTATGAAAACGTCGAAAAATGTATCACTGATTGGATAGCCTCCAAAGATGAGTCATTCTTTCGCCGCAGAATTTGTTTGTTGACCGAAAGGTGGGAAAAAGTCATCGCTAACGATGGACAATACTGTGATTGATGTATTTTTTCATTTTGTTTCTTAAATAAAGCCATACGTTTTGCAAGAAAACGGACGGAACTTTCCGATTGACCTAATAGATGCGCAACTAAGTTTCCGGGTTTCACACATGAATGGCGCTAACGACACATGTAGTCGACATACGTGTCTGAAGTTGTGTTTTTTTATAGCTTGGACATCTGTTAACAATAACCAGTCGTAATACCAACACATATTGCAACGCAAAAACATTTTTTCTAACAACGAAGATGTCGAGTTTTGTACCAAATAAACAGCATTTGGGGGAAGCTTCGCTTTTCTGCTTTAACTTGAAAAAAAGTGCAGCTGAAGCACGTCGTTTGCTTGAAGAGGCCTACGGCGAACATTCACCATCGAAAACTACCTGTGAAAATTGTTTTAAACGCTTCAGAAGTGTCGATTTCGACACTGAGGACAAGGAGCGCTCCGGAAGACCAAAAAATTCAGGACGCCGATCTGCAAGCGTTATTGGATGAAAATGATACGCAAACACAAGATCAACTTGCAGAGGCATTAAACATGACTCGCCGAGGTATTTCCAAACGTTTACATGCCATGGGAAAAATTCAAAAGGAAGGAAAATGGGTGCCGCATGAGTTGACTGAGAGACAGATGGAAAATCGAAGAGCCATTTCCGAAATTTTGCTTTTGCGGCATGAAAGAAAGAGTTTCCTGCATCGAATTGTTACTGGCGATGAGAAGTGGATATATTTCGAGAATCCCAAACGCAAAAAATCGTGGCTTTCACCTGGCGAAACATCAACATCGACGGCACGGCCAAATCGCTTCAGAAAGAAGACAATGCTCTGCGTTTGGTGGGACCAGAAAGGAATCGTGTACTATGAGCTGCTGAATGTGCGGGCGAAACTGTCAATGGGCATCGCTACCGACAACAACTGATCAATTTGAACCATGCATTGCTCGAAAAACGGCCAGAATCGGACACGAGACACGAACGAGTGATATTGTAGTACGACAACGCTCCGTGCCATCGCACTTCCATCGTCCAGGACACCATCAAAACGCTGAAATGGGACCTGCTACCGCATCCGCCGTATTCACCAAACCTGGCCCCTTCCGATTATCACTTGTTCCGGTCGATGGTGCATGTCTTGGCTGGGCAACACTTGGCCAATTTCGAAGAAGTGCAAAATTGGTTGGATGAATGGTTTCGGTTCAAAGACGCGTCGTTTTATCGTCGCAGTATTCATGTATTGCCAGAGAGATGGCAAAAATATGTAGCTACCGAGGGACGATACTTTGAATAAACCATTTTTTGTATTTCTCTTGAAATTTTCCATTTTTCATTGATCAAAAAAACCCGGAAACTTAGTTGCGCACCTAGTATCATTTAAACTTTCTGGCATGCGTGCTTTTTTTACTTACGAAAACGAACATGCCCTATATAAATGTAAAATATACATTGCATGAAGATGTTTTAGTATATACATCACACTTTACTATATGTTTCTTTCTTTTATACAGTTGATAAGCTGATACATTGCTCATATACGCGCCCACCAGAAAGTTATAGTATATTAAGTAAAAGCATATGCGCTTTTTTCCTTCTAATACTATTAGGAGCGCAAAAAAGTTCTGAGCCTTTTTTTGCAAAATTCAAAATTTATTTAAAAACAAACAAAACTATATTAATCAACGAAATATTCCCCGTTTGCATCGATGACTTTTTGCCATCTTTCGGGCAGCTTACGAATTCCCTGATGGTAGAAGCTCACCGGCTTCGAGGCGATAAAGTCATCAATGCATTTTCGTACCTCTTCAAGTGTCACAAAATGTGTATCAGCCAAGAAATGCTGCAGAGACCGGAATAGGTAGTAATCGGAAGGCGCCATGTCTGGGCTATACGCCGCGTGCGGGAGAAGTTCCCAGCCTAACGCAAAGATATGGTCCTGAGTCACTTTCGCAACATGTGGTCGGGCATTGTCATGAAGCAGTATCACTTTACGACGTCCTTTGCCAGTAAATGGCCTCTTTTCTTCAAACGCATCGCATCTCAAATTGCTCAATTGTTGCTGATAGCGATCTGCCGTTACTGTTTCACCCGGCTGTAACAACTCGTAATACAATACACCTTTCCAATCCCACTATATGCAAAGCAAATCTTTTTGGCGTGGGTATTGGTCTTTGGCGTCGATATCGAAGGTTGACCAGGGTCAACCCATGATATTTTACGCTTCGGATTATCATAAAATATCCACTTATCATCACCTGTAATGATTTGGTGCAGAAAATCCTTTTTCCGGAACCTTGAAAGCAAAGTGAGTGCCGTGTCACGCCGTCGATTTTTGTTGTCTTCGGACAGTGTATGCGGAACCCATCTGCCTTCCTTTTGAACTTTTCCCATTGCATGTAAACGTGTGGAAATGGCTTGTCGCGTAACGCCAAGTTGCTCTGCAAGCTCCTTTTCAGTTTGTGCAGAGTTTATATCCAACAATGCTTGCAGTTCGTCCGTTTCAATCTTTTGAGGGCGTCCAGCACGCGGTTCATCTTCAAGAGTGAAATCTCCTTGGCGAAATTTTTGATACCACCTTTTACA